CACAACCGGAGCCTTCGGCTAGCCAAAGCTTGACCCGCAAGGCAGCGGGGGTGTGTGCGAAAAACCGCAGTCCATTGGGAGCCGGTGTCCAGTTCATCGGATCATACGCCCTTCGGACGGGGTCAGGTGCCCAATACACCTCAATGCCCAATCGAGCCGGTGACCACTGCCACAACCGAAAAGGTGTGGGTGTGAGTTCGTTCACTCTCCTCATGGTTGTTTTGGAATCAGGGTTTTTAGCCAACTCCCCTAGGTGAACTGCCAGTGGTCCACCAACCCGGTTATAGCCCCGGATGTCAGCTTTTCGTCCTCTCCTTTTGGTGGGAAAATGCCTCCGCCACGAGAAGGCAGTGAATAGGGCTTCCTCAGCAGAGGCTATTTGAGAAGCTTGGTCGTATGGGAGCATTTTGCGAGGTGCAAAGGAATGGTGACGAGCCGCAACCCTAGACTTCCAGCCCCGACCATACTGAGGCTTTCGGATTGTGCAATGTGCCCACGCCCATCGGGGCGAAAAATAGTGGGAAACTATATTTCAGCACCTTATAATTAGAACTTAACTGATGGAAACGCTGTCTTGACACGAGAAAATGCCACAAGAGAGGTAGGTATAGGAATGTGAGTATACCCAAACAAACAGCTTCCATCCGTTCAGGCCACTTGTTGAATCAGATCAGAAATAGAATTGAGCAAACTTGTTTATCCCTGATTCATATTCCTTTTTATCTCAGTGATATGCCAGTTAGTGTGGATCACAAGAGGCTCCGTTTGTAGATGTGATCTCACTAAATACCAGCTGACGCCATGGCACTTGAAATCAGCTGTCTGTGCTGCATCAGCTTGCAGGAATTGATGCCACTATTACCGTGTTTTTTTTAAAGAATCAACTAACCATGGTTTCTTTGTTCACTAATGTGTCTGTTGTGGAAACTATACAAATCATCTGTGACTACATGCTGGAGAATCAAATCGACTTGGGTATTCCGCTCTCAGTCTTGGAACATCTACTAGTTCTGTGCACAACGGATGTATATTTCAGTTTTCGAGGCCGGCGATTTAGACAAGTTGATGGGGTGGCTATGGGTAGCCCTTTGGGTCCTATTCTGGCCGATATTTTCATGGCTAGTCTGGAGAAGAAAGCCAGTAGGACACTGGACGGCACTATCCTGTACAAAGATACGTCAACGACACGTTGATAATCACCCGAAACGCCAGGGAGATTGAGGAACTGTTAGCTGAATTGAATTTGCTTTACAAGGACATAATTCACTATGGAAACCGAGGAAAACAACATACTTCTATTTCTGAATATAATTATTAGCCGAAGACCGGCCGGGACTATTTCGAGGTCTGTGCATTGAAAACCTACTTGGACCGGTCAGTATATGCACTTTGGAAGTTTCGCTTCAATCCAGTACAAAAGATGCTTCGTGCGTACACTGTTCGACCGAGCTAGGAGGCTGCGCACTTCAGATAATCACGAAAGTAAGTTAATTCGGCCCACATAAGCTCTGAAATTCAATGGCTACCCAGCAAAGTTTATACAATTTTACAGCGAAAAAGCCGAGCCCAGACTCTCGTAGATGATAGTACCAGAATGCGACGTCGCCATTCAAGTCCCTTTCAAAGATGATGATGTAGGACAACTCATACGAAGATGTCTGGTGTTGACTGTAGCTCGCACATATTTTGCTGCAAATCCGGTCGTTCGCTTCTCAACAACCCAGATTCCGAAGCCCTTGGTGAAATCACCACTCCCTCTGTCCGCCAAATCGCACATAATCTATAAATTTCAATGTGGGTGCGGAGCTACCTACGTGGGCAGAATAGAGAGGCAGCTGCGTACCCGAGTGGCTGAGCACATACCAGTATGGGTCGAGCGGGTGCGATTGAACGTTACAGAAACAACCAGGCCATCAAATCAGTCTCACAGAACACCTGCGTCATCAATTGCTCGTCATCTGCTGCAGACTTGCCACCAAGCTGATCATGGGACTTCGTTTCAGATTGTTTACACAACCCGGAATGGACGGCTGCTAAGATTTGAAGAGGTCATAGCAATCGAGTGCCGAAAGCCCCTACTATGTCAGCAGAAGCAGGTTTACATCAGTCTGGCGTTGCCCTGGTGACCACGTAAGCGGAAGAATGAACTGATACCATGTTAGATTGTCATGACCTGTGATATATAAACTATTTTTTCTGCAGTAAGCACCAGTTGAGATGCAGCGAAATGATTCCGGAATTAAATCGTGCTCGCTTGCAATGTTGTGTTCTTTCTTTAGCCATGTTTTTTTTTGAAAATCTAATTCTGTTTTTCACACTTGTTTCGATCGACCCGTGGTATTATTTATCACGACGGATGAAAACCCGTGTGCAGGGTTTACCACTAAACTCATGGGGATGAAAATTTAACGGATCCTCCTATTTTGCGGTAAAACCCGAATGAAAAACTGTTTCATTCACGCCAGCGAAATGGTCATCCGACAGGCCGATTAAAGATCATTTGTGATAACACCAACCCTGGGCTGCTTAGGCGTGCGGAGTTAGTCGCAATCAGGAAATGGAAACCTGGCCCATTTGTGTGTGTGTGTGTGTGTGTGTGTGTGTGTGTGTGCAAAGAGAACTGTCAGTCACACCGTCACTGCCTTGGCAGTGGTACAACTTTGTGATGATTCGGCCCTGTCGTATTTGCGTGTAATCTGATGTACGTTCAGCGATATGAACTGTAGTGTTCCGCCGTTCGGTGTTGTACCAGTTGTGATGCAGCGAAATCTGCCTTGGGCATAAATAGTGCAACCTTGATTTGTTGTCGTGCTCCCTCTTTCAAGTGAACACTCCGTTGACACAGGAGCCTATGAATAATCGAAAATCATTTTGGCGATCCACAAAGCCTTTGTAAATCGATCGAAACCCGATGCATTTAATACAGTCAATCTCCTGCTATGTCGCACGTCTGAGAAGTCGCATTTTCCAATATCTTCCCACTTTTTCGAAAACCCAAACCAACCGTATGCTTAATAACGTAGTTTCTGACTATGCGATGTCGCACCCCTCACTATGTCGCAGTTCCTGATACGTACTCACTTGATCGATGGTCGGGACGACCATTGACAATCCACTCTGAAATGTCGCACTCAACCAAGGGCGTTGCACCTAGAGTGACGCGTTCATAGTACTGTTCACTGATTGGATAATCCTGGCGAGGAAGATCCAGACGTCAAATGTGCCAGCGCCTATCGATCAGACAGAAGCAGAATATGTTGGAAACGATAAACCAGGCAGGTGCAACTCGGAGCTCCTTAGCCAAATCACTTGCAATTTCACGAAAAATTGTCTACAATGTTATATCCCATCGAACGACTATCGGGGAATTTTGAACGCTGGGGTATCTGAAGGAAGATGCCATGTGAGAACTACCGAAGAGTTCAAGGCAGTGAATGAGACAACTTTGGCTTGGTTTACTGCTATGAGTGGAATGCACGGAGAGTTCTCAATGGCGGAGATCATCGTACGAAAGAAGGCAATCCAGCTAGCACAAAGATTGCATCATAATGACTTAAAGGTTTCCAAAGGTTGGTTTCGCTTTTGGTCAGAGAGATATGGTACTCAATCGTAGAAAGTAAGAAACAAGCAACTCATGTGCATTACTTACAGGTCTGGGAAAGTTTAGCAGTACCACGTGATGCAGTGGACGAGTTTCGAGCGGGGTCACCGCAATTTATACATGGATATGCTGACTGTGATATTTTCAATGTAGACGAAACAGCTTTAAATTGCAGGCAGCTCCCTGAAAAAAACATTAAGTCTGAAAAGAAAGCCGGTTTATGAGTCCAAGAAATCCAAAGAGAGGGTCACGTTACTGCTTTGTGGGAGCAGGACTTGAGAAAAGTTATCACCGTTGGTGATTGGAAAGTTTCTAACTCCACGGTGCCTCCGAGGTATAGATAGAAAAAGCCTTCCGTGCAGTTATAATTTTTCAAAGAACGCATGGATGACTACTGCGTTATTTCGCAGTTAGCTGTCGGATATCAACCGCAAAATGGTTTCTCAAAGGCGCTCTATTTTACTATTTATGGACAACGCCCCTTGCCAAAAGGCAGTTGTATATAATGGTGGACGTCATATAATCAATCCTCTGGTTGGCCTAACATTGCAACGGAATGAAGGAATATCTGGAATTAATGTGGAACAACTGGGCCAGAAAAGTTATCCTGAAGAAAGGTATTTAGTTTCGGGATAACTAGACACAGAACTGAAAAATGGCTGAATATCGCATATAACGTACCGATATTAAGCTGAGGGTGTCATAAAAGATTTAAATTTCTTCGATACATAAAGAATACACAGGACGGTAGGTCTAAATTCCGTTATAACTAAACAGTTTATAATTATAAACATTGGAAACAACTAACGGGACTAACCTACTTTCCATCGATCTGGTTCATTTTGTCACAAATCTGTTCACCGATTTTTATACTACTTAATAGCGTCTACTACTGATTATCCTGCCATGTCGCACTTCCTGGAATTTACCCACTTTTTCGAATTCCTGAGGGGTGCAACATAGCAGGGGAGTGACTGTAGTTTGTTACACCCAACAAGGGAAGATGTGATGATTTAACGATTACGAGGCACGACACAGTCAGTAGTCAATCATGTAAATCGATTCACGTATCGGATTGATCCAAAGAGTCCGTTTGACACTAACTCTACCCCCACGTTTGCATTTTTTCTAATCTTCCCTGTATTTCTGTCTTTCCCTTTGAATTGTGTGTTAGAAATGCAAAAATACTTGTGTATAGAATTGGCGCAATTATTTCAAAAGAAATGGATTACTTAATCATATGTGTATATATGAATCTGTGAGAAAAAATGAAACTGGATGGGAGAGAGAGAATAGACGTGGATGTGTTCAGAAGTTTACCTCTGGAATATCACAGGATATCGGTACGGTTCACCACAACGGGAGCACTCAGGATGGGAACACTGTCTGTGGACATTTCATGAATCGAGAGCGTTCATCACATTAGTTGGACAATAGTCACAACGGAAATCTGGTGCAAGATCTGTGATGATAGATTACGGAATAATGATGTTCGACAGGTGGAAACAGGAAACACTATATGATGATGCACGATATGCGAAATCTGATTTCAAGTCGGACAATCGTTCACACTCCCGACCGATCGGAAATAAACCAATTGCGAGTCGGGTTGGTGGTGAGGGAGGTGGGTGGGTCTGTGATAAGGATGTGCTACAGATGAAGCGGACCAGATTCAAAAAAGATAGACATGCATGAGTTGCATGCGCATTGAGTGAAAGGCAAATGATTTGGGTAGAAATTGGAGGGCGTTTCAGGTTCTTTTATCCCAGATTTCTGAGCTAGGGTTGACTTCTTGATATGCAGAACTCCACCCGGTTGTTGGTTTGTGGCTTTCCTTATTATTTCTTGCTTTTCTTTTGTTTAACCTGTAAAAAAATATTGAATGATTCGAATTTGGATAAGCTCGCATGAACAAACCTTCTAGTTATTTCGACAGTGCAAATAACTTTTCACAAATCGACAGCAATCTTTTTATTTTATTATATACAAGCATAAGAATTCATGCGATCGATTCATCATTATTCGCCTAACAAATAGTGAATAACACTGTTTGTATATCAGTCTCTGTAAATGTGCTTCGTAGTAAAATATGCGGTAGTAATTAAGGTCTCTTCCTGCACGAGTCGCCAGCGTCAGAAATAGCATTTATCCGGTAGTAGTAGGCCTCTGAAAGCCTCAGTAGGATAGAGATGGACGTTTTGGGTTGTAACTGATCTCCCTTCTCTTAAACCCCTCGGAAGCGTGTTATAAGACCAAGCTTCTCCAACAGCCTAGGTTGAGGAAGCCCCACTCGTTGCAACCTCGTGGTGTTTTCCCACCAAAGAGAGAGAGAGAGGACGACAGGCCATAACCGGGTTGGTGAACCACTGCGAGTTCCCCATAGGGAAGCTGGATAAAATCCCTGGTTTCTAACAAGATGCGTACGAATCACAGACACCCAAACCTTCCTGGTTGGGGCAGTAGTCACCGGTTCTATTGGGTATGGAGGTGTATTGGGCACCTTGAACACTTGACTCTTTTCGAAGTGCGTATCATTCGATGAACTGTACACCAGCTCCTAATAGACTTCTCACTCTGAGTTCCGTCCTGTTT